AGCTCGGTTTTCAGGCCTCTCTTCTGTGCTGAGATGCGGCTCTCCTGGGAGAACGAAAAAATTTAAAAATAGATAGCGGGGGGAAGAAGATGGAACCAAAGAAGTGATCAGTTCAGAATTAAACACTTTCAAAAGTGCTGCAGCGGCTGGATTTCAGCTTGACTTATTACAACTCTTTCAACCAAGCAAAAGGATCAGTGGAAACCTAGTTTATTTATTTGTTTGTGTCATTTTTATACCACCCCTCTGGCTCAGGGAGGCTTGGGCCAATTTACAACGAAGAAACACAACCACATGATGGAAGCACCAAATCAACAGGATGGAAAATAAAAAATGATAAAATGCAAATGAACAACACCAACAGAAAAAGTACCGCATTTTTTTCATGTATAAGATGCCTCAATGTATAAGACAACCCCCCCACACTTTTCTAATCTAAAATTAAGAAATCTAAGTGGGGCTTAGCAAGTGTAAGGGGAAAGGGATCAAAGCGCTGCAGGATCGCTTTGATCCCTGCTTTCCCCTCTACTTGTTTTTGTTCTCTCCTCAGCTTACTTCCATGTATAAGACAACCCTCAATTTTTAGTCTAAACATTTTAGACAAAAGAATAGTCTTATACATGGAAAAATACAGTGTTTAAATATATTTACAGAAGCATGCATGTTAAATGGCAGAATGGGTCATATACAGGCTAGATGAATCCAGCTGACTCTGCAGGTGTGGTATTTTGAAATGCCTGCCTGAATAACAGGGTTTTTAGTGACTTTTTAAAAATTGCTAGTGAAGGAGACAGACTGATTGCAGGGGAAGAGTTCCTTCCATAGTGGAGGAACAGACACCGAGAAGGCCCAGTTTCTCATCTTCTCCCTCAGGGCCTCTCTCGGGGTTAGCATCCTCAGCTGGCCTGCTTGGGATGTTTTTGTAGGACGAGCAGATCCAGTTGGAAGTACAGTAGGTGTCCTGCCAGGTCATGAGGTCCCATCAGCCGGCCTGCTTGGGATGTTTTTGTAGGACGGGCAGATCCAGTTGGAAGTAGGTGTCCTGCCAGGTCATGAGGTCCCAAACCATTTAAGGTTTTATAGGTTAAAACCCTCACCTTGATAGGTGATAGGTTAAAACCATAGCGGGAAATGTACAGGTAACTCCTACAAGGTGGGCCAGAATTGAGGAGCCTCATGGATGACTAGGAATTTTGAGGAAATTCTCCACTTCCAGGATTCTCGGGAAAAGACAAGAATGCTGGGAAAGGTGGAAAGATGCAGGAAAAGAGGACGACCGAATACGAGATTGATGGACTCCCTAAAGGAAACCCCATGTTTATTAGAGCTGAGGAAGGCAGTTTTGAAGACAGGACCTTTTTGCTCATTCATAAGGTCTCCATGAGTCCAAAGTCGACTTGATGGCACACAGCAACTGCTGCACCCTAGCTCAAATCTTTAATCACTATATCATACTGGTTTCTATGGTATCCCATCGCTTTAGTTTTGTAATGCAGATACACTGTACATCACTTCAGCAATTATGCCACGGCTGAGTCTTGCACAAAAACAACGTCTTTTAAGTCATGCAGGAAGAAGCCGCTAGAGGGATAAAATGCACACACGCAGGTCGTTCCTCCGACCGCGGTGGAGCGGAGCACGTAACTTGAGTCTTACTGTCACATACATACCATTATGAATTTCCCCTGGAGGAGAGAATCCTGAACAAGCAGATCTGTGTCTGCACAAGCAAGAGAGGGAGGAAAGGCATGGCTGGAAAAATGCATGAATCATGTTTGCCTTTGACATCCAAGACAAAATTGCTGACATAAGCAAGCTGTGCACCCGGCTTTCTCTGCTGTGGTAGCTCCCTATTTAGAAACAGGCATGCTGCAGACAACCGTGGACGGCGATCGTTACAGGGCAGAAGAGGACTAAGCGGATGGAGGACTAGATCCCGTGTTATACAGACAATAGGCTGCAGCTGGGAAAGAAAAGGCAGCTTTTCCTTTGTAACCTGGACAAGGCAAAGTGATGTAACAGATGTTTCTTCTACTCAACGGTTCTTCCCACCCACTTTCCTACACCTCATTCTTGGAAGAAGTGGCCTTTCAGTTCCAATTGAGGGAGGACTTAATAGGGCGATTGTGCAAGAGAAGTAGTAGTGAGAAACACCGGCGTTGCTCTTGCATGTTACACTGGGAAAGCACAGCTGAAACTCTTACTCCAGGGGCTCCCAACCTTGGCTTCCCAGATGTTCTTGGACTAAAATTCCCAGAAGCCTTCACCACGAGCTCTGCTGGCCAGGATTTCTGGGAGTTGCAGTCCCAAGTGTCCCTGGGGACCAAAGATTGGGAACCACTGCTCTACTCCACCTCAGCCATGCTGGATGTCCAAAACAGCTGGAAGGCCAAGTCTGAGGACTGCTTGTCCTTATGTACTTTGCTGGAAGGCTATGAAAGATGTGGGAAGGAGGAACCATCTTTTCTGAAGCCCTTCTTTAGGTCTCTGTTCTTAGAAGTGAGACAGAGAACCTTTCAAGACAAATATACTTTTTTTCTACATGGGTACCTGTGCTATTTCCCAGCATCTCCTAAAACATTCTGCTCGAAGCTTAACAGGTGAAACCGTAATATCTGTCAGTGCCTGGCAAAGATCTATTTCTGCAAACATCAGCGCAGTGGCATCTCGCATCTCTCCAACCAAGGGGGTAACAGAAACGGACTGGATTTGCAAACTGCTAATGAAATCAGGAAGCCTTTTTTTTCGCTTTCTAGTGCTGACACCCAGCTCGTAAAACAGAGGAACATTCAGAACTTCCCACCACTTCACAATGCTATGTCTTGTAGTCGAGAGGAGCTGTAAACCACTTATGATCCTTATGTCTCTGGGCGCTTCAGTCAATGCCAGTTTCATTGTTAAAAGACAAATGGGAGTACCTAGATCAAGTACGCATTATCTTGCATCATATATTTTGCTAGCTGTGAAGAAGGATGAGGTTATTGCTTGGAGCTTTGAAATAATACCCTTGAAGATCAACACCAAATCCAACGTAACCCAAAGCAGCAGTCATGACATCCCCAGTAGCCCCCCTTCATCAAATCTGCTCCTCTCTTTCCTCACATATTATTCGTTTTAGTTTCATTTAGTTGTTTAGTCGTGTCCGACTCTACGTGACCCCATGGACCAGAGCACGGCAGGCCCTCCTATCTTCCACTGTCTCCCGGAGTTGTGTCAAATTCATGTTGGTTGCTTCAATGACACTGTCCTACCATCTCATCCTCTGTCGTCCCCTTCTCCTCTTGCCTTCACACTTTCCCAACATCAAGGTATTTCCCAAGGAGTCTTCTCAGATGGCCAAAGTACTGGAGCCTCAGCTTCAGGATCTGTCCTTCCAGTGAGCACTCAGGGTTGATTTCCTTTAGAATTGATAGGTTTTTCTCCTTACAGTCCAGGGGACTCTCAAGAGCCTCCTCCAGCACCACAATTCAAAGGCATCACATATTATAGCAGGGCCCATGTACCAGTTAATCCTTGCTTCATAAGAGACCTTAAATAAATACAATAAAAAACAATACTGGAGACATAAACTTGCTAGAACATAAACCCGAATACTGTAAGAGCAAGTGCAGAAGTTCAAGGACGGACAATTCCATTTGGTAACACTTTTGAGGGTCAGGGCTCCAACTGATGGAATTGTGGTTTTTCTAACTCGGTGAGGGGCTGAGATTCCTCTGTTAAAAGAACTGTAGAGCATCCCCATGAACGACAGTAGGGAACCCAGGTACCTATGGAACCCAGGCTTCTGTAGGAAGGAGCCGTAACGGTTAACATGGTATCAAATTAGTTTAACTGCAGAAAGGAGGCAAACTGCAGCCTACAGCTAAGAGCACAGGATTTGTCAGAGGGGGATTTAAATCTGGGTTTCTAAACACCAAAACACGACCCCACAAGCCACTTTGCCACGCTGGACTGCTCAGTTTTGTAAGCATGGCTTGTGGTAGAAAACACCTCCCTAGAAATATAGTTTTAGCCTTCTTCATTCTGCATCTTCCCACCCTGCCTAAACAAACTCATAAGGCGCTGGCAAGAAGCGGTAAAGGAACAGCTGTGTTGTAATCAGAAACGGACGCACCTCTCACAAGCTGATTTCTACAAGCCCCAAAGGGATCGCTGTGGCAAGTCAGTGCCAGCAAACACAAAGATTCTTATTCCCAGAGGGCAGCCATGTTATTCTGTTGTGACAAAATGAATAAAAACCGCAGAAGGCAAACACTGTAACTCACATCGCTCTCTAGTTGCTAATTGCTGAGTCCCCACTTGGCTTTGGGTGTGCATTAGTCCTGTGCATTGGTAACTGCCTGAAAGTCCAAGTGGGGACTCATTAATTGCCAGCAAGAAGCCACTACAAGGTTACAGTTTGTCTTCTGCAGGCGTAACAACGCAGCAGGATTTTGGCCAGAGAATCAGTTGGGACCTTAAAAACTAAGGAACAAGCGATTGGCGGATCCGGACCACTTTTTCAGATGCATTAGAAGCCAGACAGATCTGAGGAAATGAGCTGAAGTGCATGAAATTTATGCCAGGCACAACTTGGCGGATTTTAGGTTCGACAAGACTCCTTGAGAGTTTTACAGCAATGTAAGGATTAACAGCTTACTGTGGCAGCCAGGATTTGTGGACTAGTGTCCCATGATATGTACAAAGATTTCCAAAAGTATCATTTGTCCTCTTGTGGTCACAGAATGATAAATATGCTATAGGGACTGCCCTTCCTCACCAACTGATTTGTCATCAACACCTGTGCCCACTATTCCTGCATGATGTGTGTATGTTTATGAACATGAGTTGTCATGTCTTCTTCAATTTCGAAACAGTTAAAAGCTAAAAGCAAACATCAACTTCCTAAAACAAACTAGAATAACAGCAAGTACAAATGTTCAAGGAAAGACATTTTAGACAATGTTGCAACAAAAAAATGACTTAAGTCTATTTTGATGTCTTTTTTTTTCTTTATCTTGCACATTTTAATGTGTACAGAATCCAAAGTTTTACACAAGACTCCACACTTCTAAAAAGAGACAGAAGATTAAAATTAATAACGGGGACAAGTCAACCAAAACGATTTTTAAAATCCAACTCTAAGGAAACATGCAGAAGATTTACTTTTCTATTCCTTCCCAGGTGGATTTCCATGTCACAGGCCTAATAAGTGCATGGAGACAGGTTAACAACTTGTGCTACACCAGATAATTTTGCAATTGTTAAAAAAACTCTAAACAGCCAAAGAAAAGTGATGCAATGTTAAAAAAAAAAATCAAACGGACAAACACCCAACACCAAGTTCATCAGTTCAAGCAACAGCTGGTATGCAAGCAGTAGCACTGTAGGTATACAAATACAGTTAACAGAGACACAGATTCATATTTCAAAAAAAAAGAAATGGTACCACTGGATAATATTTTACAATATGCACATTTATTGGAGGTGGGGAAACTAACTCTCCACAGGCAAGAATAATACAGATAACAGAGGCACACCTGGCCCAATTATGGTACTTATTACAATTCCAAACAAACATTTTCAAGAGCAAAATACTAAGCATGGAAAACTAAGTGTTCTCTTTTAGAATGAAATACTCAGGAGTTCCTTCCCCCCCTCTTAGCCAGATAAAGCAATGCCAGAGAAACGTGCTTTACAGGATAGCACAGGCCTCGTGTCAAATTCAGTGCTATCTGTTATCATATCCAAAATGGAGAGGGGGGGGGATCAGAAGTTGTACTCAAACAAGAGCTTGTGAATTACTTACAAACATTCAGAATTGGAAGCGTTACATTTCTGGCAGAAAACATTGCCTATTAAATACCAACCAGCCAGCACTCACAGAACATAAAAAAGGGCTTCAATCATAAAAAAATACTATAATTCATCACCAGCATTTTTAGAGTTATAAATAATAAATAGCATAACACAGTAGATTACAAATGGATCTTTTTGTATGGGTGTGCTTTTTTAGCCAAGTTAGAGTTTACAAGATGTACTGTACCCTCTGTTGCACCCCAGGACTGAACATGGGTACCACAGTAGACTCACTTCTCATCGGCGATGAAAGCTCCTTATTTCAAATCTGAAGCCGAGCTTGCTTCCTCGTTACTAGTAAATCCTTTTGTGAAAATTAACGTTAGCTTATCGGGGTTCTGAAGATACACACCAAGGCGGTGCAATCGCGGAACTGCCAGGACTGGTTGCAGAATCCCTTCCCACAATGGGTCCAGCAACTCAAGAAGCAACCAAGAAAAAGCAGTAGTGGCAACAGCACCTCATACAAGCACTCTTGACGACCAGACTCCTCCTCCTCTTCTCCACCCAGACCCCTAAGGTTTACATTCCTCCATTTTGTGACCACATCCCCTAAGGCACAAACACATCTCAGTGCCACCAGGGTCACTGATTGCTTGATAAATTCTACAAAGCAGCCCAAACAAGCGTGGCTATTCATTCCCACGACCCATCTTGCGCTCTTGCCCAAAGACACTTCTGTGACTACTGGTGGTGATTAAACACACAAACAAACAAACCTCGAAGCAGTCTGGATTAGAGAATGCAGCAGGTCAGAGAACTGTATCTCACAAAGAGCTGGCAGACCCCCTTCCCACTGGCGATAAGGAGCTACAGTAGCATTCAATAATAATAATTTTTAAAAGCCCTCCACAAATATTTTTGGCTCCCAGCATCATCACAGCAGTTGCCCCTAAGCATAAAGGACAGTTCAAAAGCTTTTCTCCTTCTTTGGAAAAGACAGAGCAGAGGCTGCAAAAAGGAATTAAAGGAGGGAGATTCCCTGTTCTGAACTATCTTTTAAGGGTGTTTGAGGCAGGGGGAGGTCCCGAATGTGTCTATTGTCCAGCAAAAGTATTTTCATTTTTCCTAACAAGTATCTAGAGCAAACTAATTTATTACTTTAAAAAAGCCACCTCAAACAGAGGCTTCATAACCAATCCTGTAACCACCATTCTTACCTCCAGAACAAGTGATCATGATAGCAACAGGTTTTCCGTCTACAATTTTAGCACTAATACAAATTAGGTGCTTGCTTGAGAAATTAAAAAAAGTGTATGCAGTTTCTCTGAAAGCAAAGTTAATGATCTCAGTAAATATAGGTAAAATAATCTGTTGTTTTAAAAATAAATCACCAAACAAGACATCACTGAGGCCTGATGTGTCCATTAAGAAGAAGAATCAAAACCAGGTGGAGAAGTTGCCACAGAATAAAGTTATGTTATTCTTTCCACTCAGTGGTTAACTCCCCAGGTCCTCAAGGATTTAATTCTCCAGGCTTCTCTGTACAACCGTACAGCAGGAGAACAGCACAGACAGACACGGGCGAACTGGATCAAGTCACTTGGGTGAAAGGTCATCCATCAAGATGAAGGAGGAACATGAGTTTGAGCAGGCGACTGGAGATTCTGTAGTAGTGCTGCCTTTGACCAGTGAATCGGAAGAAGAGCTGACACTGCTTGTGCTCCCATCAAGGATATCTGTAGACAAACTAGGAATAGATAAGGGAAATCCTTTAGTTTATCAGGAATCATAAAATGTTAATGCAACAGCAAAAGGCATAGGAATCCACAGACTGTTTCAAATTGCTATATAAGAAAAGATTCCACCATATTTCTCCCACCTTGGCCACCTTACACTAGCTACCCATGCGCTTCCGCATCAATTTCAAGGTGCTGGCTGTTACATACAAAGCCCTAAATGGTTTAGGCCTTCGATACCTGGCAGTTCTGCCCATATCACCCGTTCTAGTCAGGCCCTTCGATACTTGGCAGAGCACCTAATTCTGCCCATATCACCCGTTCTAGTCAGGCTGGGCGGCTCAGGGGTCTAACGCTGAGAGGTCCGAAAGGAAAAAACAAAAAACTGAGCGGCTCAGGGGTCTAACGCCAAGAGGTCCGAAAGGAAAAAACAAAAAACTGGGCCTTCTCGGCAGTGGCCCCTCGTCTATGGAACAATTTACCTGCAGAGATCTGCCTGGCCCCCTCACTGAGGGCCTTTAAGACCAATCTGAAGACATGGCTATACGGACAAGCATTCCCTACAGCCATCACCTAGCCTATTTCTCTTTTTTTCTTTTTCCATCTTGAATTCTGCTGTTAATCTGGGTTGTATCTTTAGTTAATTTATACCTTATTAGTTTATTTTTTATATTTTTTGTAAACTGCCCAGAGTAGACACGTTCTAGATGGGTGTTATACAAGTTTAATAAATAAATGAGCAAAATTCAACCTGCAGAGAAGTGATGTGTTGTCACCATGTAGCATCTTTCCTCGGGACATTAACAACTGCGTTTTAAAGTGCACACTTCTCTTTTAAAAGTTAAAGAAACAGAAACCTCCTGACACATCATAAACAAGGACAATGACCAACACCATTCCTGGAAGACTGCTCGTGAGTAATTCTGGCTTTACATTATGTGCCCACTGCCACTGAAGGCAGTGTCTCTCCAGCATTTCAGACGGGAGCCTTTCACAGCCCTCCGTGGAGATTTTTTTAATTTTTATTTATTTTAAAATCTTTTTACTTCACCCTTCTCCTTGGAAGGATCCAACTTCTATGGTTCAAACCTTTCATCAGAGCTACACAGTCTTTCATGCTAGGAAGAATAAGTGGTATTTTAAGGTCACAAGAAGGTGCTTTACTGTCAAAAGACCCTATCGTGTTGCTTTGGAGATGCCGGGCAGCTGCATTCATGCTACTTTTACCATGAACAGCAAGTCTTTTCTGGGACACAGTTGGGAAACAAGCAGTATCCACTCTGGCAAATGTTTATATCCTTAGAGAGGTCACTTTTACCATGAACTGAGGTCTGTCAAATGCGTCACATCAGGAGAAAGCATAGTAGTGGTTCCTTGAAAGAGTCTCTTTGGTTGACTTTCAGTTTCCATTTCACCTGTAGGGGGAAAATACACAGACATGGCAATCTTGTTACACCTGTGGGGAATGCATTATATCAACACAAGACAAGCAAAGTTAAGCCTGCTTTATGAACTTCCATGGCAAAATATTGGAAAGAGGCATCCATTTTTCATAGCTCTATTTCTACACAGGGGACACAAATTATGCTCAGACTTCATAATCAAAACATATTCCTACTAGCCAGTAAGAATGTAAAAAAACATAATTCTGGGCCTCTGCCAAGTGGCCCTTCTAGGCGACAATAAAGAAGGGCTCCCTTCTTTATTGAACTGAAAGCAATTTCAGTTTTCCTGACTTCCACACAGGTCTCTTTTTGAACCTTTCCAACCTCTCTCCACTTTGCTGGAAAGTCCCAGCGAGCACCTGGTTTCAAAGCCAGAGTTATAGTAGTTAGCGACTTCCCCCCTTTGAACCATGGAATTTCTCCCTCCCCTGCAGGCGATTCACACTCCCATGTTCTTTAAAAACACCTCCCTGCAGCTGGAATGTGTAATACAGCATTTGTTGACTAGAAGCTATTTGGAAGGAATATATATGTACAGCAACAGGTGGAAGCTGGATTTTCAAGGAAATCTTTAACTGGTGCTGATGCAGAGTTTCAAGAGGAGACCACTGGGATATACTGTACAGAGAGGTGGGAAGGGAAGTTCAATGGGTGCTCTTCCTTGTATCCTTTCGGAGATTGTTAAAGGCCTGCCTCTTTAGGTAAGCTTTTAAGTAACAAAGATTGAGTCCCTCTTGGACGCAGGGCAAAATGTCTTTTTTTAAAAAGTGTGATTAAAAGTTTTAAAACGTTTAGATATTTAATTATTATTATTATATCTAACTGTTCTTCAACTCTGTAATTTATTGTGGTTTTAGCCTAACTTCTTTTATTGCATACTCATGGTCGTTAGCCTAAATATTGTCTTTTAATTGTTGTAAGCTACCTTTGGGTCCTTTTAAAGAAGAAAAGCAAGACAAAAATATTCTAAATAAATCAATAATAATTGTGAGCCACCTTACGTCCCCTTGCCAGGGGGGCGGGGAAGAGGGAGGGAGGGAACATGCAGCTCATCCTTTATTACTCATACGCAAGTAATACTCTATTGTACAATATACTACACAAGCGTTACATACCTTTCCTTTTAATAGGGCCAAGAACACTGGGCCGGATACAGTTGATGGGACTCTGACTCCTCCTGCTAAAATCAAAGTCAAATGACTATTTTTCTACACCATTCAAAGCTTCCAAAATTTAAAGAAACCACTCCGCTGAAGTAACGTGTGTGATTTTTTTTTAAGGATTATAATCCTTTTTCGTAAAAGCCACACAAGTCCTGACAAACACTACCCTTTCCACCTATCACAACCTCATACTGTTAGCCAAAGGGTGGCCTCCCCAGTTGACCCAGTGAAGAGTTGGGACCAAGATCATTCCACCTGCCCAGGGTCCTAATTTTTGAGCCAACTGATTCAATAAAATACTTTACATTTGTTCTGAAGCGGTTTTTAAATAGTCTTGTTTTAGTAAACAACACATGAGCCCACTGGCCTAACTGGCCAATTCTGGCAACTCAAACGATGCCATCGTCACATGATGAGCAGTCATTATGGTCCACGTTTGTTCAAATCATAACTGGAGGTCTAACATGCTTATTATGGTCCACGTTTGTCTGTTCAAATCATAACTGGAGGTCTAACATGCAGCATTCTGGAAGGTGTTTTGTTCATAAAAAACATACTTCAAAGGAACTGAGCCAGAATCTCCTCATCTCATTCATCCTACTCATGATCTCCCTCTGGGGAACTTCACATATAAATTTCATGTGTGCATTTTTTACTTTTGCCACGTTGCTGGTTCTCATCACATATTCCTGTTCTGCTACCTCTATCTGCCAACTCTGCTTAGCAGCTGCCAAGGACCACTGCGGCACCTGCCAAACAAAAGCCAGCAGCATGGTTCGCTTATCACAATCTTTGTTAACTTTTCTGGTATGGAAGCCAATGACAGATACTCTGCTCTCTAGAACAGCTACAGCAACAGGACAACTTTTATGAGAACTGAAACAAATGTATTGCTTATGCAGCACACAAACAGTAACAGTATATATCTACCACCATCCCATGTAGACCTGTGGTGGATCTAATGAGCTCAAGGGTTTTGAACAAATAAACTGAAGGAAATATACAACATCAGGTTGTGTGCTGTAGTTCATGTTAGATTATTAATGTTAGATTATTTATGAGGTGTTCTAAAACCAAAAAAGGTAATGTTAAAAATACAAAATGCATCTTTTCCACTGAAGCTCAACAGTAAGAGATCAAATCCACGCGACGGAGTGAGCGCCCGTCGCTTGTCCCAGCTCCCGCCAACCTAGCGGTTCGAAAGCATGCAAATGCAAGTAGATAAATAGGGACCACCTTGGTGGGAAGGTAACAGCGTTCTGTGTCTAAGTCGCACTGGCCATGTGACCACAGAAGATTGTCTTCGGACAAAAACGCTGGCTCTATGGCTTGGAAACGGGGATGAGCACCGGCCCCTAGAGTCAAACACGACTGGACAAAAATTGTCAAGGGGAACCTTTACCTTTACCTTTACTAAAACCAAAAAAGGGAATGTCAAAAATACAAAACGCATCTTTTCCACTGAAGCTCAACAGTAAGGTAAAGTGCCAGTGTTTTATTTCGGAGCACAGGAAGAGAGGTAATGCTCAGTCTTTACTTTCTATAACTTAATGATCTCCTCTTCCGAATATTGTAGCTCTTTAGAAAGATTTTACTCCCACCAGTACCTTGGAAATTCCACATGCCCTTGGCCATTTTTTCTAGGGAATGGAAAAGACTGCAGTAAAAATGTGCTATACTTTAACACACAACAACTCCATAGAGACATCTAACTCATAGTTCTTAGAAGGGACAGACCTCTCACCTGAACACCTGCTTCTCTCTATAAAGAGAGAATGAGGAATGTGTGACACTCCAGATGTTGCTGGACTGCACCATCTGGAGTAGCCCTTAACACATTCCTCTGCTACAAACTCTTCTGTTTTACTGTTCTAGAAAAGCTTTGTGCCACTGGTTTCCCCCCCCAACTCTTTTATCGTATTTTGACAAGGTTTAGGAGGTTCGCCTAAACCCATTTAATGAGTCTCAAGTCAATGGGACCTGGATGATGTATCTGTGTTTTTAGAATATGGAATGTAGGGTGTAATCTACCAGAAACAGCGATGCAAGCTTCACTGAGATGAGCCCAGAATTAAAATTAATGCAAGGGAACACACAATTAGAATGAATGCAAACTAAATGAAGAACTGTTTAGAATTAATTTGAGTGCAGAGTAATTTTCCCATGACACGGCAGTCTGTTGACATCAGATTTATTCGCAGCCGTCCTGCTTATTAATAAGCAGCATCTTATTTATCAGATATATTGACTTACTTTGAAAACCTCCTTGTGGGGCTTGGAATGGGGCTAGGAGGCAATCCATTGCTACTCACAAACATTTGCAGGGATGGCGAGAAACATTGCTAGGGAACAAAAGCACCATATTCAAAGTCATTTGTATTAAGACATACAGGCACATTCAGAAACATTCACCGGAAGTTTTTTTTAAATGCATGTTATGCATCTTTTTTTAAAAGCACATTAAAAATATAACCAAAACACAGCTGGAAGTTCTGCCTGCATCTTAAAGTTAATATCCACATGTAGGCTGAAATACTACCATGGACGTATGCAAAAGGTATAATTTTGGGAAGCAAATTGCTACAAGAAATTTCCATAGGCATTATCTGTTGCACAACAAGTTATGTAAATCAGTGTGCAAGAAGCTAAGCACAAGCTGAAAGCTTATTGTAACGTCAGAACCAAGAGTCTTGGACCCCTGCTCTAATCAAGGTCAAAAATGTAAACCAAGAGTCACCTTGGGTCCTTCTGGGGAGAAAGGCAGGACAGATCAATTAATTAAATAAATGGCTTGCAATTGTGGCTTGTACAAAACGCAACAAGCAGAGAGACCCATTTTAGATGACAAAGCAAGTTTTCAATTCTTGATTAGTTTAAACATTCCTCCCAGTGGAAGCCATAAAAGAGTGAACAGATAAGCCACCATTCTTGGGAATGCTACCTTATGGTTGTGTCCAGCCACAGATGGGCATTTAAAATTCAGTTCTTTTGGAAGACAAGTCTTCAACTGTCTTGCATCCTTTGTTCAAATACCACACTTAAAATGCTCTGTGGCATACCTTTCCTACACCTCTTGTAGGTGAAGGTGCTGGAGAAACAGGAATGAAATCTATTCTCTTTGGAGACGAAGATTTTTCAGATTTGTCCAAATCGTTGTCACTCTGAGAACACAAAAGGCATTATGTTTACAGACCCACGAAAAAGGCTGAGAAGTAGCACGGCCAACCAGAGGAGCCCACAGGACACTCCACTTACACTCACTCCACTCTTTTTTTCCTTACATTCACTGGTTAAGAGAAGGGGTGGAATTAAAATATTAAACATTTGTAAAGATATTACCAGGCTCAAGCTTTCCTCCCATGACTGGCTTATTTGCATTGCTGTTTGTACTTCCCTGAAACACAAAAAACCTCATCAGTGGCTATCACAGGACAAGAGCAACTGTGTCGATAGACATTTTATCTGTACCCACCTCTCATGTGCTGTTTCTCTGTTCATCAAATCCACCCCTTCCTCCTGGAGAAGTAGAAGAATTCATGTCTTAGCTCTTCGTGACTTCTTGCCCAGCAGAACATTACTTCTTAGCGCAACCAAAGTCTTTACAATTAGAGCTGAGCTGAATGATCAGCAGCAATACATGGTGCGGCTGGACCGTTCCATCCCCCGAAGGTGGGGAACTTTGTGTTTGAATGCTTCTTATATCAAGAACTGCCTGCTTGCACACAGAACATACAAATATCAGGAAGGTGTGTTTGAGCCTCTTCTCAACATGTTCTCTTGACTCCAGTTGTTTGTTCTTTAAAGGGGGAAGGATTCAAAGCTGCAGTCCCCCATTCATGCTCAGAAGTGGCTCAAAACAGCACCACTCAATTCTGCTGCCCATATAGCTCAGCTTTTAGATTATAAAGAGGAGGAATAATTTTCAACAATCCTTGAGGGAGGACGTCTCCCTGCATTTACCTCTCCAGTCATTAAGATCAGGAAGGTGGGGTGTCTTTCCTTACCCCTGTAGCTGACCACCGCCCACTGGGGCACTTACTGCCCTCATAATAACAATTAAACATCTGGTTGTTGATCCGGCCTTCTATGGCCCACAGATCATAGCCCTGCTTCTGGTCTACTGAACTACAAAATGTACTTTGATTTTAATGAATTTTTTTGGAACAGACCTACTGATTTCACAGTACACCAAGCTTTTCAGGTACAGGGTAGCAACAGCAATATTTTAACAATCATACATCCCACTTTGCAATGGTCAGAGTTGAAGACAAACTACAGCAATCTCAAAGTTCTGAATTGGTTACATTTGTTTCAACCTTCATGAAGGCAGCATTTACAATTCTGAGACCTGAATTAGGTAAGAGCTGGGGTTTATATTAAAACCATACTTATAGCAAGCATACTGTTTACTGAAACAATAAACCAAGAAGCCAAGAAATCCACAATGTGCCATGTTCTTTGGAAGAAATACTGGCATTCAAATGAGTGAAAAGTTACTCACCCTTCTGATTTGATGGAGTCTGCTGCTAGGGATACGTATTGGAGATGATGATATTAGCTGGAAAAACACAGAAATATTTTAGAAGTTATAGTTGCCCTGAATATGAAATTTCTGTACAGGAAGAAAAATGACCACTTCCACAGCTGTCATGCCCCCCTCCCTAAGCAGGGACGGAAGATTACTATATATATATGGCATATTTTAATGTAGGGGAAATATACTACCACTCAGCCTCTACTTCAAGGCAGGTGGCCCTGAAAACCCCTAATTGTTGTAGCATTGAAGGAATATTCATTCTCCTTGAAGGAAAGAAGAATGATATGTTTCCATCATGCTGAAGCAACTGAACTTTGCCATCCATATGTACTACAACATAAAATTACTTTCTTTGCATATTTTAACCACTGTAAAGTAGGAAAACAGTATAAACTGCTTTGGTTAAACAGACTTGACGTATACACCTCAACTCACTCTTCCCCCAAAGCGCAAGGATTTGAAGGCTCTTTGCATCACAAATGCTTACCATGCTGTGCCGGTTCATAACTGTTGTGCTGTTTCTGCGGGTTCTCAAGACGTAAGGCTGGAAAACCTGTGAGTTGTCACTGAAAGGAGGAGGGAAATGGCAGTTACATTTCTACATTACTTTATATTTTTGCATTCTCCAACCACTCCCCATTCTCAGTTGTCTCCTCAGACTATTTCTACTCTAAGCTCTTTAGAGCAGACACCTGTGCTTTGGGCTTGCATTGTTCCCCGGAATACAAGGCCTATTACAATTTTGCTTCAGAAAGACATGGCCTGGGATCCAACTGCACCATCCGATGCACAAGACAAAAACAGAATTTCCCTCTGGTGACAGCTTCTTATGCCCTCTCAACCATGCGAATGTGTGCTGGAAATTTCTACTGCAAAGGAGAAACTGAAAACCACCTGCAGTATTCTAAATCCTGCCCGTACTAACTAGAACAACTGCTATTATTGTACAATGGCCAAAAGCATAAGTTGCAAATGAAGTCTCAGTTCAAGCCTCACCACTATCATAAACCAGATGAACAGATGCACGATGCATGTTTACTCAGTAGGGTGTACAACTGCCACTGATGGAGTGGTGTCCAAGGAAACACAAACAGCCATTAGGTCCATCTGATCCAATATTCTGTGACCAACCAACCTATGCGAAGCCACCAACAGGACTGGGGCATCCTCCACCCCGTCTTGTGCTCTGCCAAAACCAGAGGGGTATCCTGCCCAATAGCTGGGATCTCTCTCTCTCTCTCACACACACACACAACATTATCCATCCATGACCACAACCTCCATGAATTTATCCCATGCTGAAGTCTTCCTTTTTACTCTTACAGACATGGGATGCCTTTTTGCTCCAGTGGCACAAGTGAGAAAATCTTCTCCCCACCTGCTTTTGACACACAATATACCGGCTTCCGTGTGTCCTTGCCCTGTTGTCCCCTTTACTCCCATTTTCCTCAATCCAAGACCCCCAGTTCGGGTCTTCCCAAGAGCTTCCACCCACCGCCCACCTCAGATCCTAACAACACAGCCCATGGTCACGGAGGACGGACATTGTGATCCAAACCCACCGGAGACCAAACCCAACCAACGGCCACGGCAACCCCGATCCGTGCGGTTCAGATACCTAGATTTCCAGGCCAGGCTTTGGCGACCCCCACTAACCACTAAGCCAGGCTGCCTTTGTGGGGGGGGGGGAGGCTCATGAGGTCATAAAGCCACGGCAACCCCTGCAACTATTAAGTCATTCCCTGAGCAGGATCTGCTGAGCTGAAATGTTTAGTCGGTTGCAAGGAGGGGGGGGGGAAACGGATTTTGCTCCCTGCTTCTTCATGGGGTGGATGTTGGGAAAGCCCCCTCCACCCTACAAATGGGTGGGCTGAGAGAGACCCTGCCTGCGCCAGTTTCCTTCAAAATCTTTGTTTGGGGGGG